ACACCCACACTAGAAAAACACTATGTTCATCACACAATATTTTTCCAGTAGTGAGGATCGAACCCACACCCTCTGGCGCAGGAGGCAAGTACACTATCCACTACGCCATTCTGGTCGTCAATTCTGTGCGAAAATGGGAATCAATTACTGGTATTAATGACCACGTTATTTGAAATCAATAATCCTGTAAAAATGTTTGTCAGAAATTATTTGACTTCCTTATTCATATGATATCTTAATTAAAAGCATTAAAGATATGCCATATTGTGGCATTATAGAATTATTATTCGGTTTTTATTGCCAACAAAAATAAAGTAATATTGTATAGGTACTTATGTGTTAGTAACTTGTGGCCCACATTATTATAAAAGCAGTTATAACAGGCATGAAAATGTTCATATCAAGCAAAGACTGAAATTTGTTTATTCAAATAAATAATTACCTTGGTTTTTGATTATTGTAATTTACATGGGTTAATGATTAAGTGATTAATTTTAATTTCACTCAAGTAACAAATGCTAATATATCTTTGTACCAGGGTGTAGCAAATATGCAACTGTTGATTTTAATTGGTGATATAAAAAAGGAAAAAAAAATCAACGTAGTGAAAGTTCTATAACATATTTTAGAGACATGATGTGCCTCGGAACAGAGGGATTTTCATCAGGTTTTTTTCAGCGGAATTTATTTAAAACGTCACTTTGTCCAGTTCTAGGAATAATACAGGGGGTAATATTATCTGCTCTCTTCCTACTTAATAAAAAGTGAGCTTACTTATAAATTCGTACAGAGTACCTTTTACAAAACAAACTTTCCATTATCAATCGAAATCGTCCGTCGAATGAATTTGAAACCTCGTACCTAATTGATTATCAGGACTGGCTGTTTATTGACCGTGAACAGATCCATCCCATCGAAGGGGTAACGAATAGACGGTGGTTCAAATTCACAATCACCTAATTCGATGAAAATCAAAAATCACGCGAGAGGAATATTTAATAAAGGGACAAGGAAAGTAAGGACCTTTCAAGGGTCGAAAAGAAAAAAATCGCAATAGCTACTCATTAAGTAAATTAATAACGTACCAATCGCGAAAAGATGAGACGTTTCTTTTTCACGGATTTTATATTTGCCTCGATTTTCCCCTCCCGGAAGTCATGAAATTTTCTCTTAGCCTTAACTTTAGAACTTGGAAATGTTGTTAAAGGGAAAATTATTTTACTTAAAAATGTTTCAGCATATCATATTTACTCGTTTAAAATGTCTTATTGTGAAATAATATTGATAGTTTCAATGATGATGACTCCGTAGCGCAGTTGCCAAGGTGTTTGGCTTTGGCGTTACCCACAGATAGTTGTTTCATCTGGGTGTTTGTCCACGGGAAATTTTTGTTTGTAAAACTTCCTTACAATACAGGATAATGTTATCCTAAAGTAAGGGCAATGTTTTTTTAAAACAAAAAATGTTTCTTAGATCCTAAAATCCGTAAAGCTCAGTACATAAACTAAACGCTTCAAATGCTTCGAGAGACTTATCCTTCTATAAACGAATCAAAATCAACCGCAAGCAAGAGAACATTTCCGTTCAACAACAAAACACGGACGTCAACCTTCGTGTCACATTATTCAAATTGGCTGTACAGCCTTTTGTCAGCTTCAGCAGTATGTACGCATTTCGCAATTGCCCAGTAAATCATTGCGTTGCCGACGTCAACGGCTCACCGCGTTTCCACCAACTGTCGTGTTCGCGTCAATCAACGCCCATCGGGCACAACGTATTAAAGGGCCAGGGACCTTTTAACGTCTTGTATCTTCTTTATTGCAGATATTTTCAGTCCGTCGGACTACGCAAAAGTAAATCACATGGTTACGGGTTTATTTTTGTTTTATGCTCCAACTGAACATTCATGTTCATTCACAGTCCGGTCGAACAAAGATGGAAAATTATCAGGATTATTACAATTTCCATAAAAGTTTTCTGACTGCAATAATGCGATTTTTTTATCTTGGTATTAATTCAATTGTAAAGTAAAAAATGAAATTTATACATTGTTACTCCAGTAAATATATCTGTCAATCTAGAAACTTATGAGAATTACGAATTGGAACTTTAAGCGGGCACAAAAAAAAATCAAATAATGTTCCGCTGTTATTTCACACGCATAACTATTCTATAATATTTTAAGTACTGATGTCTTCATTAGCGAAAACTGAACTAGATTTAAATAAACATATTTTCCGTTAGTATTAGTGGTTGAAACTGATCAAGGATCGTTTAGTGCAATCATCCTAAAGCTTAGCGCAAATACTTTTCTGTTCATTTTGTCAGAATTGGCCAATTAATTTTAATTTGTTTCTATAGTTTACTTAAGTTTCTAAGTATAAATAAAGTAATAAAATATATGTAAATATAAAAAGAAAAACACATTTAATGAGCTTTATTCTAAAAACAGTGATCCAAATAAGGAGTGTGCCATGTTTAGCAAACCCGGCAAACGTTGTTTCGCCATATAAATTATTTGTAGGGTAGAAAAAAATGTTTGGGGTGGACCACCCTTAACATTTAGGGGGATGAAAAATAGAGGTTGTCCGATTCTCCACCGTGGCCGATATGCACACAAAATTTCACGAAAATCGGTCGAGCCGTTTCGAAGGAGTTCAATTACAAACACCGTGACACGAGAATTTTATATATTAGATATTAACATGGATTATATATAATATTTCGTCTAGCATCCCTATACTATCGTTATACTAACATGAAGAATAGAATCAAGTAGAATTATAACTACAGGGACCCAACCAACCACCACGATTTAAGCTAATTCATCCAGAATTTATCTCCTGATTTATCCTTCCTGCATAGATATTAGATATCCATTGGGTGGTGACCTCTATGGGAATAAGCTGCAGCCACGCTACTATATATAGGCATATTAAATGAATAATAACAACACAGAAATCCCAAGACAAATAATTAATCGGTTACCAATCGTGATTTATTCTAATGCATGATAATTTAGGCAACGTAGGTTTGGTATGCGCGACGGTCTATGTTAGCGCTCTCCACCTACGAGGACCGATGGCATAAAACTTCCGACTTTCCATGGAACAATGTAAATCTTCATACAGTTCCGTACACCGCGTAATAAACACACTAGACTTACGGCCACCGTTACTGCAAACCTTCACACAATTGCAATGTCTTCACACGTTAATAATGGCATTTTGAGCTGAGAGATTTTTCTCAAACGACTAAACGTCTGTTACCTCGGAACTATGTCATTTATGAACCGATTTTTAAAATTATTTTTGCATTGGGTTTACGTTATTAGACCTTAGACTCTAGAAATACATCAAGGTAGTTTTCAAAATTGAGTAAAATGTATACAGAGCACGGTTGAAGATGATTTTGTTTATTTTTTTTAATAATGAAACTGGTTTCATTTAATATGTATAATATTTGCGAAAAATCAATAAATGAATCCGATTTTGTTTTTTTAATAAAATATTATTAATTTCATGATCGCGATAGTATCGATGTATCCGTACATTGCAAAGAAATTATTTGTAGCAAAATATATACGCAATAGCTTTAAAGATTTGGCATTATAATCCGTTGGAAGGACACCATACATAATCATTTCTTTATATTTGAATGAGGAAATTTCTCATTCTGTTTCTTTTCTTCGCCCAATATTTTTTTAGCGAAGAAATGCAGCTAGCGGTATTGGGTCCATTCCCCGTAGACTAGGTTTGTTAGATGACGTGTAATTTTCGTTACATTGACTATTGTACATATTTGTATAAATAAATTATTTTTTTATTTTATTTAGTAAAAACAATGTAATTTTAGGATTATTATTTTTACTACAACGATGATTCTTTTATACTGCACTTTATGATTTAAGTACGTTTTCTATGATGGTCTCCAGAATGACCTTCATAAAGTTATGCCTTAATTCAAACCAATATTATCCTAATTGCAATTGCGTAAAGTTTAATTTTGGGTGGTTATACATAATTATTAGTTTAAACAAGTTAAGCATGTTATTATGTAAGTAACCGGATTTTGATTATTACCAGGAATAGCGTTTGTTACGTATTGTATGAAGTTCATTGACCTATTTCTTGTGACTTATTTCTATTGTTTCTATGATTTACTTTACAAATTAAACGAAGCCTTTTTTTACACACTGAATTTTTTACAGACTTTTAATATTCAATAACTAAAAAATAAATCATTACTGATTTTGTCGATGTAATATTTGAATCTTGCCAGGATAAAAGGGTCTCGATTGATTTGCGAATTCTTGACATGGAACACTTGATGAAAACACTTGTAAATTTGTATAAATATGTATATTTTCAAAAAAGCCTTAGCAGATAAAAATAAATGTTCTCATTTTTATTTTTATAACCGTCTGCCTTCTTAAATATTTTTATTCATTTTAACAGTTCCATGCCAAAATAATTAAAAAGGTTTTAAAGTAAAAACTTTTTATTTCACATAAAATTATTTCGAGAAATATTAAAAAAAAAAAAAACTCATTTTGCGCAACTCCGGCGAGATTCATCCGTGGCGAATCTTTTAGAGACGTCATCTTTAAAAATAAGTTCGCCTTAATTAATCCCAATGTAGCTGAGCTCGAGAGTCGAGGCGTTTGCGAGTAGTGTTACCATCTGTACGGATTTTCCTTAGACATCACGGACTTTTCACGTCCGGGACAACTCCGTCATACAGATATATCGATTTGTTAATGTTATTTATCCACTATAGCACGAATTCATTCAATTCATTAGAAATTTATTGTTCCATTTCTCAATAAAAATTGGATTCAGTTCTCGTATAAAAAAAAAAAATTACCAGTGACGGGTCCGGTGCAATTGTTCGCAATCTGCGTGTTTGTTTGTATGTTCACTTAATATGAATGTTAAAACAAGACGGTATAGAACAGCAAAAGTTTAAATGAAAAAAATATCCGGATCTTCGATTGCGCAATGGCCACCCCGATCGCGGCCAAATTGGGGCCCTCGACGCAACGACGACGGCACGTAACAGTTTAATGTCTGCCGGCGGAATTAAAGCCTCTACAAACGCATTTCTCTGTTTTAAGAGAAATGAACATCCTCTTGATGTGTCCTTGAGGCTTATTTCGCCGAAAAATTATCTTCCCCGCTTCTCTAAAATTCTCCTTTATTAATTGGCAAATTGAGTATTAAAATTTGTAGAAGAAATTTTTGTTCAATCTTAAGTGCAGAGATTAGCACTATAACAAATTTCAGTTTCAAATTAAGTATTATACAAACCTTGACATTTCTATTGATTTTAATGTTTGACCGAAAATAAACCGTAGAATACAACTATTGTTTTGGGAAGTTTCATAGTACTCTTTTAATAAGCTTTATCTGAAATGCAAGTAAAATTTTCGAAACTATGCGATATAAATTTATTGACGTTCATTACACTAAATGGGAAATTTAAAATCAATTTGAATGGGATGTTCCTTATATTACAAAATTGGATAAACTATGATAAATGGCCTTGTAATCGAGCCACAGTGTGAATGACGATGTTGTTTACTTTAATTTAATTTAATTTACAGGCCGAGGAGTTGAACGCACTGGTGGGAGATGCGTTCCGGATGGCGTTCGCCTCGCAATTGCAGCCCTCCGCTCCGCTTTGGGTGAGTGTCCACGAATTTTAATATTTATATAGAAGTGAAACATTCTAATATCAAAAATGAAACATATTTCAAATATCTCAGTCACTGTACATTTTCTATTTCATTTCACATTTTGACGAGTTTCCTGATCTGATCTGATGATGCTCCGGATTCAGGGGTCCAATGTAATAGCAATAAATATGGAAGCTACCGAACGGGAGCTACCAAACCCAATGCAAAAAGGATTTTAAAATCGATCCAAAAATGGCGGAGTTCTGTGGTGTGGTGTAAGATTGGTTACTGTGCGTCGGCCCCAGTTTTCTAAGAACTTTCGCCTGTTTCCTCCTATTTAGCATTTTTGTTGATGATAAAATAGATCGGATCAAAAAAATTGTGTATCAGTGATAACAGTGATATAAGTAAATTCGTGCTAGATAATTAAAAGTAATAAATTAACAGATATACGAACGTTACATGTAACACCCATTGCACGAGAACGTATGTCTCTTTTGCGAATTATCAAGCGCTTAATTAGCAATTTATTAAACGCGTAACAACCACGCTCGACTCGATTGCGGCTCCATGAATCTTATCCATGAAAACTTTATTACATGACCTCCTAGTGACTTTCAGTTCTACCTTCTTCCTAATAAATGGCGCATTGTAATTTACTGAATTCAAAATAGCGGGGAACTAAATTCCTCTCTATCTAAATCATTTAAAAAAAATTAAGTGTTATTCGTATTAACAATGACTTGGGCGACTTATTTTGTAGCTCGTGATAATTAACGTAACAAAATGAATGAAATAATCGTGGCCTAAAATTATGACCACTATATGTCTGTCTTTCAGTGTAATCAATATTAATTTTGATCAATATTAATATTAATTATTTGACCTCAATGGCCCGTAGGTGAAACTCACCCCACAGACAACGCACACATGAGAACATGCGTGGCCCTACCCAACATGGGGGCCGTTTCAAGATCGGAGGATCTAGATCACGAGCTCTGCGTTCGGTGAACCTCTAATAGTCCACGGACTGAAATCAAAAACAGCACTCAGAATAAATATTGTATCGATTTCTGCATATTCTTTCAATATCAGCCTATTGCCGTCCACTGCTGAACGTAAGCCTCCCCCAAAGTGCGCCAACTATCCCGGTCCTGGGCAGCCCGCATCCATCCGCTGCCCGCCACCTTTCTTCAGTATTCTTTAGTTAAGGTGAATTTAAATAAAATCTTTTCAATAATTACGCATCTGATGCTTGTGTTGCAATTAACATCAGATGAGCCGCCAGTTCACTTGCCACCTTTTCCCATAAAAAAAAAACATTTAAGCGCAATGTTTTCTGCCATTTCTAGCCCGAAAGGCACTGACAATTCTTAAACCGGTACTTTAATATTCACAGATTAAAAACAAGGAATCGAATGCATTTTTGATATTGTTTGATAAGAACTTAAAAAAACCTAACAGAGTGCACCATTGAGCTTGCCGCACGTTTAACCATTAATATAAAGAAACAAGAATGAACAGTTTAGTTTCCTTCGCCTATACGTAGCACAATTTAAACGCCGCGCCATAAATAATCGGAGTAACAGTGCAGCCTCTGAATCCAAGGGTTATGAGGCCGTTACTTACAATGCCTTCCCGGCTTGTTCGGTTCGTTGCCAACTCGTTGCGATGGCTTAATTTATTTATGAATTGCACGCCTCGGAACCGGTGCGCTGTGTGAGTAAGCCTTCGCTGAATATAATCCAAGACCCGCAACCACCACATCAGATGAGTTATCCTTCGCTGAATACAATTCAAGATCTTGAACCACCACATCAGATTAATTATCCTTCGTTCAATACAATCCAAGATCCTGAACCACTACATCAGATGGATTTACTGCCGCGAACTGCATCTGATATTGTGGTTCAGGCACATTCTATAATGTACTTAGCAGCGTAAGAGGGGTAAGAATATCATGGTACTGTGTGACATTTTCAGGGTCATCTTGTAAAACATATATGTACTTAAATTTGTTATTACCTAATGAGTATATCTAATACTTGTTAAAAAAAAAAACAAATTAAAATTCCCATTAACATACATACGTATTTATAAAATAAGCTGATACTCTAATTTCGGCAATGAATTTTTACTGTTATATTTATTTGATAGAACCTCGTGATACATTTTCAAAGTGCTGATATTCTAAGCAGCAAAAAATATACACTTAACAAAAACAGGCGACTACTGAATAGAAATTATGTTCCACTTGAAATATATCCCAGATTGAAATAATTTTCAATTGAGTCGATAAATTATAATGTAGCGCAGTGCAAACATGTTAAGTGTGGTCATCAAGCTATAAGTCACTTCGGGCCGTTCATCTTGTAAATTGGGACCGCTTAATAATAGCCCATTTACACGTACGCCCTCTGGTCTTTATTACAACCCTATTATTTATTTTTCAACGAGCACCGCGCTCAATGAGATAAATTTGTATTCATAAAAGAGAGAGAAGAAATGAAAGATGAACTGATCTATCAATGCAAAGTCTATACACGTGTAGTTAGAAGCTTGAATTTTTGACTGCGTCATTTTTACGTGTCTGATGATTTGTTTTTTGAAAAATTCGCAAATAAAAGTATAATATAAAAGCTTGAAGTAAAATTCATTATAAATAAATATATTAGGACACAATTTTACACAACGTTCCCTAGTCCCAAACTATGCAACGCTTGTACTTTGGGTACTAGATAACTGATAAACTTACTTAAACATACTTTTACATAAAAAAAAATACATATAAAATAATAAGAAGAATATTATAATTAATATGACTATTCATGCTTTGGTTCACATAAAAACATCAGGGTCAGAAGTTTTCTAAAATTCTACCCTCAGGAAAAGTAAAATATAAGACGTTTAATGCATAAGTGAGAATTGCGCAATAAATATCTTGTTTAGACCAATCTTAATATGTACCAATTTATTAATATGTATTTATATTTTGACTTATAAGTTTCTCTTATTAATTCAATGTACACCGTTACCCAATGCTACTGTTTTTACTATTTCCTTTTACTAGGTTGCCTGGAAGAAATCGCTTCCTAGCGATAAGGCCGCCTATTGTACAGTTTTGTATTATTTTAGTTGATTCTTCAATATCCGTTGGTTGTGTACAATAAAGTATATTTCATTCATTCTTTCATTCATTCATTCATTCTTAATGCTCATAAAAACCCCTCGTTTTTGGGTCTTCGAATGAGAACGAAAGAGTTTTTAGCGTAAGCTTTACGCATGAAAAATTGCATTTGATACGTAAAAGCAAGTTTCTATCCCTTGGGACACGTCTGCTGATATGAAAATGCTGACGTTTATCTCTGGCTCAATTTAAAAATACCCTGTTTTTGTTACCTAAAAAATTTCGTCCAACCCGAGGGATTCTATTTTGCTAATAAGTATTTTTATAGTTCGGATACTCCGGTTCCTAAAAGCGCAAGGTAGCACTTCTTATCGTACTTAGATACTTTTTACAAAACAGAAAGAAAGGGTATTTACTCCCTATCGCACAGGTGTTCTACAAAAAAATCATCAAGACGTAGATCTGGAATAGCTGATTTGTGATTTTGATGTTTATTTCATGCAAGGTTTTATACATGTTACTTACAGGGTAGGAACTATTCGACTAAGCCAATCTAAGTAAACAACAATTAGCTACATTAGGAAACATTAAGAAAAACAACAAAAAATTTAATTCATTTACGCACCTCACTAAAATGATATCACACACCGTCAACAATCGACATCCTAAACACGGATAAAATTGTTCGGAAAGTATATTCTCTGCCGCTGTACCCAAAGTGATTTCAAACACAACTAAAGTTTCACTTGCTATAAAACTCTTGTGTACACAAAGTCAAGCCAATGCCTCAACATAGACATTTTATTGCTTCGACAATCACACATTTTACGATCCAGTTGGTCCCGGGATTTTAACATTTCGATGCTTTCGCCTTTTTATGATATTCTGTTTGATGGTCGAACGGCGCTTGTTACCTAGAAGTATATTCCGAATCAATCCGAACTGCATTCCGATTGACATTTACGTAATAGCATTGTATGCGGCTCGGCAACGACTCGGTGGAGCAGTTGCTAAGCTATCGGCTTTGACGTCGGGGTCGTGGGTTCGATTCCCACACGGGAAAAGTATTTGTGTGACCCGCAGATAATTGTTCCGAATCTGGGTGATAGTTCCCAAGGAGGGTTAATGTAAAGTAGGCGGGCGGGCGTAAATATATCTCGTCAAAATCATTTACGACATGTTGCCGACCCCACTTATGTATGTGGTATAAGAGCTGGAGGATGATGATGATGAGGGTTCATCTCCATCTGCGCTTTTTCCAATTCTGATCCAAATTTAATTCAGTTGCGTTTAAGCTTTGCGGTGTGGATAAGGAACCAACACACACAGAAACATTCGAATTTATGAAATGAGTCCCATTTCACGCAACTCAAGAATGGCAGGCGAGCATTAGTTAATGGCAAATTATTGCTTTTATCGCATACAGAAACACGACAAATCAACGGTAAATGGATATAAAGGACTTCTTGACTCGCGACGCACTACGTGGTAGGCATTGGTGAATTAATTTCGTGGCTTCGCTTACGGATGGTTAGTGTTGTCCATATACTCAAATGGTTCGCGGAATTTTAAAACAAAAAATATGTTATATGATACGAAATTTTTATAGCACATTCCTTTATTATGATGGAGTAGTACATTTTGTCAACACAGTCTTCAATTAGTTCTTCATTTATTTTTTAATTAACTTTGCGATTCACAATAGAATGGATATAAAATATAGAACACTAGCTGCTGCGACTACGTCTGCGTACAAAAGGCTGAAGTCGTAAGATTCAGACAGAAAGACAGATATACATAAAATATGTAAATATTAAAGTTTTTTATAGTGCTAATCTCTGCACTTAAGATTGAACATTAAAACATGTAGAAAAAGTACGAA